TGGCCCCTTTGGTAAGCAAAGTGAATTCTATGATTAAAAAAACAGCATTACTGTTGAGTGAGAATCACAGCCACCATATAGGACAGAATAGGACTGCCCCATAGGGTTTCCAAGGCTGTAATCGTTACGGTAGCAGACTGCCACATCTTTTTCTTGCAAAGTCACTGGGGTTTGAACTGCCAACCTTTTGGTTAGTGGCTTAACGTAGCCCTAAACCACTGCACCACCGGGACCCTAGAATATTCCAGAAGGCCCGGAAGGGAGAAGTGAGAGAAGTGCTACCACTGCTTGTCCCTTCCTTGTGACCCCAGGGGGCTGTCACCAGGGCCAAGAAGAAGAGGAACTTGTCTGTCTCTTTTGAGTCCAGTGCTAAGGGCAGGGGAACCCATCACTGGCTCACCTGACCTCACCCTTAGCTTGGAAAACCCGATTTCTCTCAAGCCCAGCAGGTTCCTTCCAAGAGCTGATCTACTCATTGTGGTTGCAAAGAACCCTTTTGTTGTTAGAACCAGGGAAGGTTTCCGTCTGACAGCAGGGGAGGCTGTGTTTCTGATGCTGGGACCCAGGTGGGTGGGCTCTGTGCATCCTTGTGTCTGAGACTCACCACTGTGTTCTGCATGCCTCTGTGTCTGAAGGTTCCCATGGTGAGGGGCTCCTCTAAGACCCCCAGGGGCAGTGACTCTGCTCCCACCCCTCAAGCCCCCTGTGCAGACAACCCCCTGAGGTACTGCTTGGGAAAACCACCCTGTGGCGCTTGTCTCATGGGGTGGGGGCACCTCCTGAGACCCTCTGTGCTGACCTCGCCATTCATCTTGATGCCCTGCTAGCTGACGAGAAGGGGCCCGCCCTGGGTCCTGACGAGCTGTCTCCCCATCCCAGGGCCAGTCTTTAAATGTCCCCTCTGTCTGCCTCCAGACAAGCAGACAATGCCGCTCTCTCACTCTGGCTTGACTTTGGGAAACACCAAGAAGGAAGACAAAGCTGTTAAAAATATGATCTGGGCTAAAGAGGCTATTTTTGTCTTCCTAGAGTTTCCTCATTCTCTGAGCCTCTTTGTGTCCTACTGACTGGCTCACAGCACTTGTCATTTGAAAGGAAGAGACACAAGCCGTCCATAATTACCTGAGTCCTGGGTGGGGGCACAGGGCCAGAGGGGGAGACCAAAAACCAAACAACCAAACTGCCATCGAGTTGATTCTGACTCATAGTGACCCCCTTTGGGTTTCTGAAGCGGTAAATCTTTACAGAAGTAGATTGCCCAGTCTTCCTTCCATGGAGTGGCTGGTGGTTTGAACCACCAACCTTCTGGTTAGCAATCAGATGCCTTAGGCACTATGGCACCAGAGCGTCTTTGCAGAGGAGGAGAGTGGAACTGAATTGGTGTTCTTTTTCACAAAGTCCTTATCTTTGTCCGTGTGAGATAAACACATTAGGGCAACTTGCTGCCATTTGCACTTTTCCCCCATTGCTTTGACCCAGGGACCCAGGACGGAACTTCACACCCACAAGAAAGAGGGACAGATTGAGCGTCTGCTTCAGGTTGAGCTGTGCTGGGACTGAGGGTGCCATGGGGCAGTGCAGCCCTCCAGAAACAACTTGTGTGTCTGCACAGGGACCTGAGAGTTGACCCGCAGGCTGCCTCAGGGCCCAAGGCTGGCCCTGACACCTCCTTCTAGATTCTTGCAAAACCCTTGGCCCTAACCCCAGGACCCAGCACTTGGGGCCTCCTGGTCGGTTCCTTGCAGCCCTGGGGGTGCCGGGAGATGGAGTAGACACGTGTCTGATCATGATAATCATCTGGGGTGATTGTGGAAAATGCAGGTTGGTAGGCCCCACCCCACACATATGGCTCAGCGTTTGCAAGGTGAGGCCTGGGAATCTGTGTATTTGTAAAGAGCACCCCAGGTTTGAGAAATGCTAGTTGAGGGATTAAGAGCCCCAACTTTAAATCAGTGGTTCTTAGCCTTGGCTGCTCTTTGGAATTACCTGGGTGGCTTGAGAAAGTGCTGATGAGAGATTCTGACTTAGTTTGCCCGGTTTCAGCCTGAGCATCATGGTTTTTTCAAAGCCCTCCAAGTGTTTCTAAGTATGTGGCCAAGGTTCAGAACCACTGCTATCCAGCCAGATGGGCCTGGATCCTGGCTCTGCTAGGACCTTGGAGAAGTTATGTCATCTCTCTGGGTGTCAGTTTTCTCATCTGTAAAATGGGACTCATGATAGCTGCTTTTGGGACTGTGGTGGGCAGGCAATGCCATTAATGGCTGTTCATGGTACCTGGAACTTAGTAGGTCTGTGTTTATATATATTCTACATACAGACTTTTATTAGATACAGTGAAACCTGTGGGAGTCAGAACTCTGTGGGACTGCCTTATTTTTTCGGTTCTCTCAAGTTTCCTTCCTCTGAGAGGGTGCGGTCTTACCACTTTTCTGTTGTTCTCTATAGTGACGAATATCTGAGTTTTCCTTCTCTGACAGTTTCTGCCTTACCCAGGTGGTGGCTTTTGAAGATTTTACTGTATATTTTGATGATCTGCAAATATTTTTCCCAAGTTTGTGGCTTGTATATTCATTTTCTTTTCAACTTTTTATTGTGATTTGGATGAAAGTTTACAGAGCAAATTGGTTTCTCATTCAACAGTTCATTTTCTTATTGGTGTCTTGTGAAATGAAAAATTTAAACCATTTCAGTGAAATCCCACTTACCATATTTTTTTGGTTTTATGTGCTGTGCTTTTGGTATCAAAGCTAGGAAATCTTTGCCTACCCAAGGTCATGAAAGTTTATGTTTTCTTTAAAAATTTTATAGTTGTAACTCTTCTGTTTATGTCTGTGATCCATCTTGAGTTAATTTTGTGTATGGTGTGAGGGAGGGATTTACATTCACTCTTCTGTGTGTCAATGTCCACTTGTCTCAGTATCATTTGTTGACAACATTATTCTTTCCCCATTGAACTGAACTGGCACCTTGTTGAAAGCAGTCGGCCATCGATGTATGGGTTTCTTCCTGGACTCTCAATTTCATGCTGTTGATCTATATGTCCATCCTTATGCTGGTACCAGTCTGTCTTGGTTACTCAAAATCAGTCTTAATAAATGTTTGTTGAATGAGTAAGTGAACTAATGGAGACAATAATTAGAACGGGGATAAAGCATGCACTTTGGCATGTCAGTAAAACCCACGCACGATGAGAAAAATGTGTATTATTCGGGTTCTTTTTCTTTTCTTGAAAGTACATTTCATTTTGGGTGCTCTCAGGGAATTCTTGGTTAAAAAAAAAATCCATTACAGAGTTGCTCTGTAAAATGGATTACTACCTTAGTCCTTCTGTTGCCTAATCACGTTTGATCTGTTTCCCATGTTTGGATATGTGTCCATGGATATTTCTCAAAGCAAGGAATGGCCCCTCTAAGCATTTTCCTGCCAGGTCTCTGTTTCAGTTGAGACGGCAGCACCGGCCTGCAATGCCTGCCACGGTGAGGCTCTTGGGGAATTAATCTTCTCTACTCTGTCCTCCAGTTGCCCATCCAACAGCTGTTTTCCTCAGACCCGGTGCAGGGCCAGGACTTATGTTGCTGGCGACTGCCGTGCAGTTGGCTCCAACTCCTGGCAACCTCACATACGTCAGAATGAAACGTACCCTGTCTGGCACCATCTTCACAACCGTCGTATGCTCCCATCCATTGTTGCATCCACTGTGTGTTTCGAGTGGCTCTTAATTCAGGGGCTCGTCTTCCAGCCTATCTCCAACAATCTCTGACTTTCAGATGCCTCCAAAGTAAAATGGCAATTTTATTGTTCATTTCAGGGGGCAGTTATAAGGATTGACCAAGATAATGCTTATCAAATAGTCAGCACTCAATAAATTACTTAAAAAAATGATAGATGCTGCTGTCTGACAAATGCAGCTCTAGCTGTCTCCTGGGGCTGTGGTCACAAATTACCACAAACTGGGTACCTACAAGGAGCCCTGGTGGAGCAATGAGTAAGTGCTCAGCTGCTAACCAAGAGGTCAGCGGTTCAAACGCACCAGCTGCTCTGCAGGAGAAAGATGAGGCAGTCTGCTTCCATAAAGATTATAGCCCTGGAAACCCTGTCCTATGGGGTCTTTGTAGGGTTATGAGTCAGAATTGACTCAATGGCAGTGAGTTTTGGTTTTGGGGTCCTTATAAAGAAAAATTTATTTTCTCAGAGTTCTGGAGGCTGGGAGTCTGAATTCAGGGTGTCAAGGCCAGGCTCTCTCTGAAGGCTTGAGGGGAGTCTCTGCTCTTGTCTCTCCAGCTTCTGGTAGACCCAGGAGTTCCTTGGCTTGCAGCTGTAGCATGAGTCCATTGTCACATGGCTGTCTTTCCTCTGTGTGGCTCTTCTCTTTTATAAGGACACCACTTAAGTTAGATTAGGACCCACCAGTGGCATTACTGAGCAGGGACGGGAGGTGCAGACCACACCCCCTGACACTGTCGGAGGGCGTGACACCAAAATGACCCCAGGGTTTGCAGTACCCCCCACTCCCAACCTGCCAGTCAAGGTGGACAGGTGGCCATAGCTCCCAGCATCGGGTTGAGGAGGAAGTTCTCTATCTTAGCCAATGGGAAGAGCTACGAGAAGCCTCTGGGAGCCTCAGAGAGCGACAAGGGGGATGTGTGTGGCCTGCTGGCCCTGCCTATGTGTGTGTGTGTGTGTGTGTGTGTGAGTGAGACATCATGAGTTACTGCACTGGGTGACATCAATCCCAGCGATGCCACTGGGGCCCACCCTACTCCAGCGTGACCTCATGTTCACTGATAACGTCTTCAAAACCCCAGTTTCCAAACAAGGTCATGTTCATGGATGCCAGGGATTGGTACTTTTACATTTCTTTTCTGGAGGACACAATTCAGTCCATAACACCCTCACCCCCAACCACATTGAGATCCTGGGGGTGCCCCTGGGGAGATCTATGGAAATGGGAGGCAGCCAGGCTGGGCCACCACACCCATCCTCTCCTTGCAGCTGGCACCATGGAGATTGTGTACGTGTACGTCAAGAAGCGCAGCGAGTTCGGGAAGCAGTGCAACTTCTCCGACCGGCAGGCCGAACTGACCATCGACATCCAGCCCAACCCCGAGCTGGCCGAGCAGTTTGTGGAGCGGAACCCCGTGGACATGGGCGTCCAGTGTTCCACCAGCATGTCAGAGCACGAGGTACGTCCCTGCCCTGGGCAGCGGGTGGCAGGCCATGCGGGTCACTGGGACAGGGTGTCCCTGCCCACTTGGAGACCAGTTCGAGGGGGTCCATGCAGATGCTGTAAGTGTGAAGACAGAGTCACTGACCCACTGCAGCATCTGGGCTCAGGAAGGGACTCAGGATCCTACTGGAGCCATGTTAGCCATTTGGTACAGCTGGGAGAGGCATTCTGAGGGGGCAGGGATTCGAACCTAACAGCTTGTGAAAAGAAAAGTGTTTTCTAGAAAGTTCTGGCCTGAAGGAACTTTCAGGTTGAGAGAACTGAGGACCATGTTTAGAAACCCAGGTAGTTCTCTGTCTGAACCAAGTCAGAATTAAGTCAGGAACTGCTGAGAGAAAATTCGACTGAATAAAATAACCTATTTAATCATGTCCAAAACCAACTCAGTGAAAAATCACACTCAATTGGGCCAAAACTCATATTCAGCAGTCAGGTTGGTACACTGTGCCCATGACTCACAGTTCAAATGAACAGGCCCTGTTTTCCCAGCTTGAATTTCTCTTATGGGGACCAGGAGGCCTATGTCCTTAGCATTGCCAGCTAAACAAGATGGCTGCCATGAAGTCACACCATAGTTGGGCTCCCCTGTCAGCAGCTCCACCCTGTGGAGACATTTCACTTCTGTAAAAGCCAACTTAAAAATGGAAAAGGGTAAAAGTCCATGGGCTGTCCTCCCTGCTGTTGTGAATGGGTGGACAGAGCAAATCCAAACTCTTATTATTATTATTATTGTCATAAAGTATATACAACAAGACATTTGCCAATTTGACAACCTTTATGTGTCTACTTCAGTGACATTGGTTATGTTCTTCATGTGTGACCATCACCATTCTCCCCTCCCAAACTTCTCTTCATTGTTTTTATGCATTAATTTCTATGACATAAATGACAGGGAGAGAATGGATTCTCACTTCTGTTTTCACTGGCTCTCACACAACAGGTGGCCCGGCTCCTCTGGTCCGTTAGGGCTCTGACATGGCTAGACCTGGATGTTCTGTGGCCACTAGCATCAGGCGCAAAGCTACTAACCTCACAGTGTGGCATTTCCTGGCTACTTGTGTCAGCCCGAGAACCAGACAATTCCCCAATAGGCCACCTGGGAGCCTCGGGTGCAGGTCTGCAGAGGTGGCCGGATGCTCACATGTGGTGGGCATCTTCTCCCCTGTGACACTCTCTTTAGGCCAATACAGAGCGGTTTGAGATGGAGACCAGGGGAGTCAACCACATGGAGGGGGGCTGGCCCAAAGACGTGAACCCTCTAGAGCTGGAACAGACAATCCGCTTCCGGAAGAAAGTGGAGAAGGACGAGAACTATATCAACGCCATCATGCAGCTCGGCTCGGTGAGTTCCTTCAGCTCTGCCTGTCTGGGCCCCACCTGATACTTCTGTTCCCAGGTGGGCAGTCAAGACCCATCAGGTAAGTGCCCAGCCCTGTGCAGGGCCCGTGCAGCTCCTCAGGGACCTGACTTTTGACCTTAGGGAGCCTCTGTCTGAGGACACAACAGCAGACGGATGGGTGAGGTGTGGACATTTGAGGGCTGAACAGGCTGTAGAATTCAGATAAGTGGGAGTCCCTCCGTGATGCGAACGGTGAATGCACTCAGCTGCTAACTGAAAGGTTAGAGGTTCGAGTCTACCCAGAGGTGGCTCAGAGGAAAGGCCTGGTGATCTACTTCTGAAACGTCGACCACTGAAAACCCTGTGGAGCCCAGTTCTCCCTGACACACGTGGGGTCGCCTTGAATTGGAGTCAAGTCAAAGGCAGCTGAGGTTGGTGTGAAAAGTGGGGACCTCCTTGGGCAGAGGACTCCCAAAGAACGCCCCCCAGCAGCTCCCTGCCGAGAGAGATCAGTCATTCACTCAACAAATTTGGGCTGGGTTTCTAGTCTGCCAGGCACAGTCACCAGTTACCT